TATTCTACATTCTATTCTATTCTATTCTATTCTATTCTATAATCTATTCTATTCTACAATCTATTGTACAATCTATTCTTTCTACAATCTATTCTATATTTTATTCTATTCTATTCTACAATCTATCCTATTCTACAATCTATCCTATTCTACAATCTATTCTACAATCTATTCTACAATCTATTCTACATTCTATTCTATTCTATTCTATTCTATTCTATTCTATTCTATTCTATTCTATTCTAATCAATGTGAGATGCCTACAAGAAGCAACGGATGGAAACTAATCAAGGTGAGAAGCCACCTAGAGCTAAGGAGAAATTTCCTGACAGTGAGAACAATTAACCAGTGGAACAGCTCGCCTCCAGGTGTTGTGGGTGCTCCAACACTGGAGGCTTTCAAGAAGAGACTGGACAGCCATTTGTCTGAAATGGTATAAGGTCTCCTGCTTGAGTGTGTGTGGGGGGAATTGATCTAGATTCTAGAAGACCTCCAAGGTCCCTCCCAACTGTTCTGTTCTATCCTCCAAAGCGCCTGAAGGCAGGACAAGAAGCAACGGATGGAAACGAATCAAGGAGAGAAGCAATCTGGAACTCAGGAGAAACTTCCTGACAGTTAGAACAATTAACCAGTGGAACAACCTGCCTCCAGAAGCGGTGAATGCTCCAACACTGGAAGTTTTTAAGAAGAGACTGTCTGAAATGGTATAGGGTTTTCTGCCAGAGCAGGGGGTTGGACTAGATGACCTCCAAGGTCCCTTCCAACTCCTGTTACTCTGCATCCAGCGTCCTAGTATCTGCAGACTTCAGGCTTCTTTTTCTTTTATTGGTTCCTAGGACAATTTATACAACCAATTTATACTCAAAATAGGGTTATCGTACCGTGGAAAACTTCTTCTAGATGTACTATCTCCTCTACACCATCATTTTTGAACTGCCTTCCAATTAGGCAATCGGATTCGCTTAATGACCACGTGGATTCCTTGAACCACTGCAGATTCACTTAACAAACGTGGCCAAAAAGGTCCTAATGGGGCATGATTCGCTTAACAACTGCCTTCCTTAGCAATGCAAACTCTGGCTCCAATTATGGACATAAGTCAAGGACTAGCTGTCCTTTGCAGGCAGGGAACCAAACAACACCCCTGTGAGGTAGGAACAGCAGAATGCCCTTCTAGAGGTGAAATAGTGAACATCTTTACATAATCTGGATCAAGGTCTTTTCAAAGTTGGCTATTTTAAGAGAGGTGAACTTCAACGTCCAGACTTCAATAACCAGCAGGGGGAATTCTGGGAACTGAAGTCCGTAAGTCTTGAAGTTGCCAGCGTTGGACATCCCTGTTCTAAGGTATCTTGAATGTTGATGGCTCTACTCTTTCTTTGAATCTAGGTCTCTCTGTCGCTCTCTGGCTCCTGTCTGTCTGTCTATCTCTCCATCTGTCTGGCTTCCCTGCCTGGCTTGCCGAGACGATTCTAAGCAGCTTCAGAAGGATGGAAGGCTGAGTCAACCTTGAACCGGTCAGCATCGAACTCCCGGTAGTGGGCAGAGTCGGCCTGCAATACTACATTCTAACCACTGGGCCATCCCAGTTCGATATCTATTGATGGATTGAATGAATGAATGGCAATATCAATAGCGCTTAGACGTATATACCGCTTCACAGTGCTTTATAGCCCTCTCTAGCTGTTTACAGGGTCAGCCTCTTGCCCCCCCCCCAACAATCTGGGTCCTCATTTTACCGACCTCGGAAGGATGGAAGGCCGAGTCAACCGTGAGCCGGTCAGGATTGAACTCCAGGCTGTGGGCAGAGTTTGCCTGCAATACTGCATTCTAACCACTGCACCACCAGGGCCCTTCCTTCCTTCCTTCCTTCCTTCCTTCCTTCCTTCCTTCCTCCCTCCCTCCCTTTTCCTTCCTTCCTTTCTTCCTTCCTCCCTCCCTTTTACTTCCTTCCTTCCTCCCTCCCTCCCTCCCTCCCTTTTCCTTCCTTCCTTCCTTTCTTCCTTCCTTTCTTCCTCCCTCCCTCCCTCCCTTTTNTGTTGTTGTTGTTGTTGTTGTTGTTGTTGTTGGAAGGGACCTTGGAAGTCATCTAGTCCAACCCTATACCATTTAGGACAAATGGCTATCCAGTCTCTTCTTAAAAGCCTCCAGTGTTGGAGCATTCACCGCTTCTGGAGGCAGGTTGTTCCACTGGTTAATTGTTCTAACTGTCAGGAAGTTTCTCCTTAGTTCTAGGACTAGGTTGCTTCTCTCCTTAGTTATTTCCATCCGTTGCTTCTTGTCCTGCCTTCAGGTGCTTTGGAGAATAGCTTGACTCCCTCTTCTTTGGGGCTGCCCCTGAGATACTGGAACATGGCTATCATGTCCCCCCTCATCCTTCTCTTCATTAAACTAGACAGACCCAATTCCAGAAACCGTTCCTTATATACTTTAGCCCCCAGTCCCCTGATCTTCTGTGTTGCTCTCCTCTGCACTCTTTCTAGAGTCTCAACATCTTTTTTACATCGTGGTGAAAAACACTGATGTAATTCAACCTCAACAATGTGCAGGAGACCCAGTTGGTGATACGGTTGGCCATCTTTTTCTTCAAATTTCTAAAGATGGATTGTTCCCAACTACCACAGCTAGATGATTGTAAGGCAGCACAAAAAGTAAAGGATGGAAACTAATCAAGGAGAGAAGCAACCTAGAACTAAAGGACTATTTCCTGACGATTAGAACAATTAATCAGTGGAACAACCTGCCTCCAGAAGCTGTGGATGCTCCAACACTGGAAGAAGAGACTGGACAGTCATTTGTCTGAAATGGTATAGGGTTTCCTGCCTGAGCAAGGGGTTGGACTAGAAGACCTCCAAGGTCCCTTCCCACTTAGTTATTCTATTATCCAGTGGCAGATCTTAGCACCAGGAAGCCTTCCCTTGCATCACAAAACACCGCCACAACAACACATCTTTAACTCCACTGCTCTTCCCCTGCGTTGTTTTCTTCAATTTGGTTTCGATCCTATTATTTTATTTCACTGGGGCACGTCAAAATTGTTATGAGACATCAAAATAGTTTTGGGATTGGTGTTTCGTTTTGTTTTTTTTTACGGTTGGGGAACCTATAAATAACAAAAGCACACAAAACCAGCCAAGAGTCATAAACAACACATACCGCATGGCAGAGGTTTATATTTAGAACTTTAATCTCTCTCTCTCTCTCTCTCTTCCCCCCCCCCCTCTTCGGGTGGAAAATATTCTCGCCACCCCATAATTCTAGCTTGAGACTGTTATTCAAGAGTTGGGAATAGTAAGCGAGAAGGAAAAACAGACCCCAAGTTTTAAGGCTGATACAGGCTTTGTATCAGACATGCCAAAGAGCAAGGGTGGACAACTACGGCAATTTTATGATCTGTGGACTTCAACTCCCAGAATTCCTGAGCCAGCACAGCTGGCTCAGGAATTCTGGGAGCTGAAGTCCACAGGTCGTAAAGTTGCCACGGTTCCCTGCCTCCTGCCGAAAGTCGTAAGGCCGTAAGAGCATTCTGGGAGTTGACGTCCACCCATCTTCAACTTGCCAAGGTTGACAAACACTGCCTTTAAGGGAAGGGGGGGGGCTGTTCAACGACAACTTATAACAACAGTGTCAAGAATGACACTTTGGCAGCTACGTGCCTCTTCCTTTCGATTTGTCATTAGAGTTGGGTGTGTGTGTGTGGGAGCGTTGCTTTAGAAGTGTTTAGATCAGGGGTGTCAAACTCAATTTCATTGAGGGCCGCATCAGCATTGCGGTTGCCCTCGGGGGTGTGTGTGAGCAGGGGGGGGTGCAGCCTACTGGGTGGGCGTGGATGGAATGGGTGTGGCTTACTGGGTGGGCACAGCCAGCTCTACATGGTTCGCGTCCAGGGTGCCTGTGGGGGCCTGGGCAGGAGTGGGACAGATCTGAGGGTCTCTGGCAGAAGGGGGTGGGACCGGGGCAAGCGCCAAGGCATGGTCCACTGGAGGAGCCTCACTGTTCCTCTCAGGCCATGTGGGGTGGGGGCTGGATGGTGGCGCAGACTGCCCGGAACACTGGGCATCAGAGGTCAAACGCCCAGCCTGGCCCTCGAGCATCTGCGGCACCAAGCCGTTTCCAGACGGCCTTGTGGAGCTAAGACTGAATGCGTTTCAGCATAGATGGCCACCACAAAATTGCACATTGGCTCCCAGCTGGCCTGGGCCAGGGCCAAGGCAGCGGTGGCCGTTCCCTCACTGTTTCCAGGATGGCCACATGAAACCACTTCGCAGGCCGCATCCAGCCTTGTGTTTGACATGTCTGGTTTAGATGGAGAAATGAAACCCTTTTGATTCTGCTGAAGACGACGAGAGCCTGAACCATTCCCAAGGACACTGCAGCGGGTGTGGAAGAGTAGCGGCCGGTTCCCATAACGAAGGGACATTGTTTACAGGACTACATGAAAAGGCAAGGGGTCTGGGCAAAGAGATTATGGTTTAATTCTACGGTCTGGTGTCCTGGAACCTCAGAGCAAATTTCGCTTCGACAGTACCATGTCATGTATTCAATAAACTGCAAGATTTTCGGAAATGGAATAAACCCGGTTATTTATTTGGATCCTCCAGCTGGATGTGGACAAACAGTTCATTTAGTGACCGTTGGAAGTTACAACAACACTGAAAAAATTGACTTATGGCATTTTTGACATCCTCCTGATCAAGTGATCGAAATTTAGACGCTTGGCAACCGGTTGCCGTGTCCTGGGGTCATTGTGATCTCCTTTTTGTGACCGTTTGACACACGTCAATGGGGAAGCCAGATCCACTTAACAACCATGTTACTAACAACTGCAGTGATTCACTTAACAACAGAGGGAAGAAAGATTATAAAACGGGGCAAAAATAACGTAACAAATGTCTCACTTAGCAACACAGGCTCAATTGTGATCGTAAGTCGAGGGCTATCGGTATATCAAACCTCCATCGACCCGTGATTGACCTCTTCCCATCCCAGCCCAGGAATACCTGTACTGAAACCATTGGGGTGATGGCCCAGCACCACGGGGCTCGTGGATAGGCTGGTGAGGACTGCGGCAGCCATGACTTCGTCGATCCCGGCCTTCTCCGTGGGTTTTCTGTAGGGCAGAGGGAAAAAGAAGCGTCAGTCGGAGCCACATTACATTCAACCCAACTCTGCCCAGGATCCGATGAATTGGTTCTCTGGGATCTGCACCTTTGGATGGTCACCTTGTCGTGGTGACCTTCTCACAAGTCTAGGCAAGCAGTCACTGAGAACCTGTATGGATGATGCCTACAAGAAGCAACGGATGGAAACTGAGAAGAGACTGGACATTCACCTGTCTGAGATGGTATAGGTTCTCCTGCTTGAGCAGGGGGCTGGACTAGAAGACCTCTGAGGTCCCTTCCAGCTCTATTTCTATTCTATTCTATTCTATTCTA